TTTTTTTTTTCATTGGCCATAATATCTGAGAAAATTTCACACTGTGAAATACGAACGTGACGATGTTTGAGGTCGTTCAAAATCTAAGGTTAGGGTTAGGGTTAGGGTTTCGTTTCGTTTCGTTTCGTTTCGTTTCGTTTCGTTTTATTTTGTTTCATTTCATTTCGTGGAAAAGACTAAGCCGAAAATAACGCTTAGATTGTATGAATTATTTGTGAATCATTATTGGGATAGTTTGCAGGCTTGACTTTGAACTCTAAATTTTTCTTCTTTTTCATGCACAGTCTATGAATAAATACTATACCGATAATTGTACTTTTCTGCATGTGGAAAACCATTGAAATTATTCATGTTTGTGATACTGTTTTTGAGATACAATTTTAAAATCTTTTCTAGACAAACAGTTTTTCATTTTCAAATTGTCTTTATGTATATTCTTGGTTATTTGAAGGAAAATTATCACTTTTGAAATTTTACTGTTTCACAGATGCTTGATAAAATGACATACTTGTTTGGTAGGGCTGGTGTTCATTGTAACATTGCATGGCTGACATAAAAAGACTGGACTAGGTGTTCATTGTTACATTGTATGTCATGTGTGTAAAAGTAAAATATTCCAATGATCCTATCAACTTTTTTTTTCTTTATTTCAATGATTTGTTATGGGTGATCATAGATTTGTGACTAACACATCGGGGGGGGGGAGTATGCACTATAATAAATTGGATATAATGTATATTCAGTTCCTATATATTGTCCAGATTGTATATCAAAAATATGATGCTGTTCTATTACAGTATTGGAGTGGGGTTTAACTTGAAACCAGCAATTGGGTGCATATTGTGCTAGTTTTTGATTTTGGAATCTTAATGTATTTTGATCGTGGGATTATATTATTAAAAAAATCTTTAATTTAGCAGTTGTTGAACTCTTGTTGTTCCTGTGAGTGTTTGTAGTTCTGAAAATTGTTTCAAATTCAGTTTAGTGAGATCATTGTTGGAATACTAATAACCATGTCAAATTATGCAAAACATCAATTTTCTTTTTAAAAAAAGCACTATATAAAAACAGCTGAGCTAAGTCAATAGTGATGTTGCATGTTTTCTTTAAAATTTAATTTGCTGACACTTTATTCTCCAATGTCTGATCCATATTCTCATCATATTAGTAATCTTTTAATAGTTTGTCTATTTCACATTTGTTATTGTGGCATACAATCACTGTGGTAATATTCATAGACACATCTACTTTAGTGTTAGAAGGTCCTTCTGTTTATACCTCCATGGTGTTATGTAGTGACCTTAATGCTGATATAAAAAAGACGGGAACTCTATGGGTTTGCAGCAGCTTGATTTGAGAGGAAATGATCTCCATTGTTCATGATCCATTATGAACTGTACATCTGTCATTCATACATGTATACTTTTTGCTCTTCTATGAATTACATCACAATATCAATGACAAATGTTTCAATTTTTCTGGCACAAATGTATAATGCAAAACAAAGAAATCCCAACACGCGCCGTGTACCAGTATTAAATCCATAAATTGCCACCTTCAATCACAAAGGCACAATGATTTTCGGAAAGTTTTTTTCCAAAATAATCTGATCAATTATTAAATCTATAATATGTCTGCAAGCTGCACACTTTTAAAAAATATTCCACCTATATATTTATTACTGTGGTTATTATGTTTCAAGCAATATTGAAATTTACCTAAATCTAAGAAAATTATTAGACAAACACTTATTAGACACAAAACATGTTCAGGTGTAAAATGAAATCAAATGAGTTATGGCAGAGGTACATTACTTGGGGTTTGCAACGCGCACAGTAACTCTATGGTGACATCATGCCAAGATCCCATTCAAGTCTCATCTCATAGATAGCGAGACTGATGCTACGACTTTCTGACATGACATAGGCGGTTTGTAATAAAACATGTATTATCACATTCATAGTGAAAAAATGTAATACATCAAAAATGTACAGAAAATATAGTTATCGTAATCTGTCATATCGTGAGCAGCGATTTAGATCCACCTGGACATCCCAGTATCCTAGTTACCTCGGGCATGCGCATTCGCATTTTTCTGAGTTAGAACGCATTGGCGGATTTAGATGGGGGCCGAGGGGGCCGCGCCCCCCTTATTTTCAACAACTAACAGGGCTTCGCGCCATCAGCGCTCGCGAACTTGGCATTAGGCCAACCTATCGCCCCCACCCTATTCCAGAATCCTAGATCCGCCCCTGGAAAGCTTATGCAAGAGCGAGATTGAAACGGGATCTTGGTATCATGTCACCGCAGTTGCAAACCCCAAGTAATGTACCTCTGGTTATGGGTTTTCTATATGTATTTCACAAATTTCATCTTTCCGCCATATATATCGCATTACAGGAGACGTTTCAATACCATGAAATGAACTTCAGTTTGAAATAGATTATTTGATTACTACAACTTGAAGAGGTACTTGAACTGAGGATCTGTTTGGTAGTAATTAAACTGTATATGGTATTATGAGGTCGGTGTAACACTACATCGTTATATTCTAATTGTACTTATTAAATTTGAAGAGTGTCCCTGTGGATTGGTGTTAGTTAAAGGGCGGCAGTCGTCGAGCCGCGTCCTGTTCGATATGGGACTCATAGCGACGTATACAACGCGTGTAAAATACATTGTTTATTTACATGAAATTCGAACACGTGCTGCGCGACAACCACCGCGCTTTAACGCACAAAACATGTAAATGTAAGTAAGTTTCCAGCTGGTTTTCCCAAAACTAGTAATTAATTTTGAGTTTCAAAATCGTTAAACTATAGACCAAATACTAGGTTACCAAATAAAATATTATGGATCCCGATTTTTTTTTTTATTTGGAGGCATGTGTACGCCAGGAATGCGTGGACAGTATTCTCAGTAAATATGCGCAGAAACGTCAGCGCATTAACAAAATTAAATGACGTTGAGGGCAGTATCACTAATGCGTGAGATGTGTGAACTGATACGTTATGACACATGTTGTCATATTGTTGAGCGACTCCATCACCCGGGGGGCTACTTCCACATTAAGTGGGTAGGGGTGTGCAGCCATTTTTTTCTATTTATATACCCCCTTCTAAGCAC